AAAAGTATTTTATATAAATTTATGAAGAAACGTTTTTAAATCTAGCCGCCAAATGTTTCGAAAAAATATTATGATTTAGTTAAGACAAATTTATACAAACTGCTGTGCAAAGTATGGACGACATTGATTTACCCGTTAAAAAGATATTTGAGGGTAAGTTGCGCTACGAATGTTTTACCGCACTATAGACCCAGACTTTCGGGGTGCTGCCACTGACTGACTATGACTTAGTTGGAGAATAGGTATCATTGCAGGCCCCACAATGCCATAGCTTCTCCACCCCCCGGGGCAGTGCCACTGACTGTAGTGTCTTTAGGCCATTCCCAAAGGGGGGACATTTCTCGTTCAAGCACAATAGAATGGTAAATGGGCTGATTCATCATGTTACGCTCATAACTGTGCCTGATCTGCAACAGGGAACTGCTGCTTTTTCTTTCCTAATCCTTACTATTGTCATTTTCCTCTACTTCTTTTGTATGTTTGTCACTCTTGTGACCTGCTAATTACGGGTGCCTTGATGGTCGAAGCAGACCTTGTGCTGTTGAAGCTAGAGAGGTGAACAGAGTAAGTCTAATTCCCTGTGAGGACTTCTCTGTTGACACCCACCCCTTGGAACTCATATGAGCTGATGCAGTTGCTAGCGCCGTAAAACCCTCTACTATAAGAAAATAGCTCCTCCTGCCTCCTCTCCAGGATCCATGAGCACAATCAGGCACATTTAACATAATCACACAACAAGAGGACGTACTGCACTGAAGTAAATACCAAAGGGAGTCACTCTCTATGATAGCTGGATAGTTGATGAACCTCTAGGAATAATTCTTTAAGCCTGTTTCTTGGGCTACCAAGGTTGTTTTTTTATCAATTAAAAATGAAATTCTGCCGCGACTACAGCGTTCTAAACTAGTGCGGTATGTGAGGGTTTTTCCTTCTATGAGCCTGCTGTACTGTACTTGTTTAATCACAGGAGCTTACGGTGGAGGAAGAGGGTATACCATCCTCTCACTACAGCTCTGGAATTCCCAAAATGCAACAATTACTTCATTGTATTTGCTATTTCGTGGCTTCGCCATCACACACAGGTGTCCCGCGTTCGATTCCCGGGTGGGGAGAATTTTATTTTCTTTAAATCGAGCATCTCAGTCATTCTGCCGGAACTTTGACGTATTCCTCTCAGGCCAGGTTGGCAGTGACAGGCAGAGTCGGAAACCGCCTTCTTTTTCATCTAAGTTGTGTGTATCGATGGGGAGGTAAAAAAAATTCCAAAGATACACACACCATCAGGGCGTTCATACTTTGAGACAGACACCACAAGACAGACACCACAAGACAGACAACACAAGACAAACAACAAAAGAAGAGACAAGACAACACAAGACAGACAACACAAAACAGACAACACAAGACAGACAACACAAGACAGACAACACAAGACAGATACCACAAGACAGACAACACAAGACAGACACCACAAGACAGACAACACAAGACAGACAACACAAGACAGACACCACAAGACAGACACCACAAGACAGACACAACAAGACAGACACCACAAGACAGACAACACAAGAAGAGACAAAACAAGACAAGACAGACAACACAAGACAGACACCACAAGACAGACACCACAAGACAGACAACACAAGACAAGACAACACAAGACAGACAACACAAGAAGAGACAAGACAAGACAAGACAGCTGAACAAAGTCAAAGAGCGACTCCCGATCGTGCAAAAGTGCGGTATCTTTATTGTTTACAACAGGAGTTCGCACGACAGATACAACCTTTTCATCTACACGCTAATACTTCTTTATTAATAATACTATTATTATTATTATTATTATTAATTATTATTATTATTATTATTGTTGTTATTATTATTATTATTATTATTATTATTATTATTATTATTATTATTATTATTAATTATCCTTTTTTCCATAATATTATCAATAGAAATTCTATTATTACTAAAATTATTACTGTTATTATGACTACTTCTTCTTTTTCTTCTTTTTCTTGTTCTTGTTCTTGTTCTTGTTCTTGTTCTTGTTCTTCTTTTTCATCATCTTCTTCTTCTTCTTCTTCTTCTTCTTTCTCTTCTTCTTCTTCATCTTCTTTTTCCATTTCTGTCATACTGCAAAAAATTCTGTGGCTATATATGTTTGATTAGGTCAATACATTCTGACTGACAAATGTTTCCAAATAAAAAATGTGTCACTATGCGGTGGAATCATGTGCTCGTCAATTTTTTGGGTTATCATCATCATCTTGAAACTAATTGATTTGTTTTTCCTTTTGATAAAAACAGTACCCTTTTATCTTAAATCTAAGCTGAGATATTTGCGACTGAAAGCGGTGGCGGTCGTCTGGTTACAGAGAAAGAAGAAAATGTCGTGAGAAAGGCCCCTAAATTTTGGTACCTTCCAAAGATTGAGTTTTTGGAAACTGAAAATTTACTTTTTTGTGCCTTTTACCCATTTGGGGGGGGGGGGGGGGGGGAGGGAATTCACACAAACATGTGTTTTTCAATGGAGAAAAAAAAGTATTGACCGCCCACCCCCCCTCCCAAACCCCCCTCCGCCCCCCCCCCCCAAAAAAAAAATCTATTTAATTAACAAGTATTTTTTTTTAAGTATTCAATTATTTGATAAAAATTACCCAGAGGGTGGAAAACATGTCTGTCTATTAGGTTTCAATAATTTGACGAGCGCATGATTTCACCACGACGGCACAAACACACAGACGTTCCCGAAGATATATCTTTTTTTGAACGTGGGGACACCCAAGTAATACACCTAATCTTACTCAAAACTTATGAAACTTGTCATTTAAGGAAGGTTACTGAGTCTGTGTGTAACATTAAATAAACATTTAACTTTTACACAGCATTAACATCATCATAAAAAGCCTAAGTGCCAGACAGATCTGAAACAGACATCAACGAAATTTCTCTCAAAATCTTTTTTATTGACAAAGAAAATGGGAATAAATTATGTGATCCTACCTCTATTTATACACACATTTCAGTTTATTTCTGAACATTTCTCAATGATGAAGGATGACAAACAGCTTCCTACGACCTATTAAGAAGAAGCTGACCGTTTTGTAGATTGTTTGGGCTATTTCTACTGCGTCATCATGACTAGAAATCTCCACCCAAAAACTAACACCTCATACCAAACTTTGGTGCTGTCAAGTAAGGGTGCACTCACACGTAACACTAAACTTTGTTTATGTCTGGTAAGGGTTTTCTAACACTGAGATTTGTTGATGTCTAGTAAGGGTCGCACTAACTCTAAAACACTTCACTTTGTTGATGTCTAGTAAGGGTTGCTCTAACTCTAAAACACTACGCTTTGTTGATGTCTAGTAAGGGTTGCTCTAACTCTAAAACACTTCACTTTGTTGATGTCTAGTAAGGGTTGCTCTAACTCTAAAACACTACACTTTGTTGATGTCTAGTAAGGGTTGCTCTAACTCTAAAACACTACACTTTGGTGATGTCTAGTAAGGGTTCCTCTAACTCTAAAACACTACACTTTGTTGATGTCTAGTAATGGTTTCTCTAACACTAAAACACTACACTTTGTTGATGTCAAGTAAGGCGTCGCACTAACACGTGATACTAAACTCTGTTGATGTTAAGTAAGGTTTGCTGTTACACTAAACACTACACTTCGTTGATGTCAAATAAGGGTTGCAAAAAATCGTCCTGCGGGCCCCCAAGTTTCAGACAAGTCGCTCTAAAGACTTTCCTTATCTGCAGATGTAGTGCCGTGTGGGTGTGCATGTTATTGCTGAGGATTACACGCAGACGTCTAGAAATAACAGCTTTATTGACAGACACGTGTGACTAAGTCGTAAAAATGAGTTACAAGTAATAATTCTTTCTCCGTTTTGTGTTGTCGAATAAACACTGGAGGTGCGTGAGACATAGAGATCAAGCATGGACAAGGGTGAGCCCGCTCCGATGCTCAATGTCAGGAACTTTTACCACACAAAGAAAAAAATAATAAATAGACGCAGGAAATGTAAGACATCATACCTGAAGCTATAATATTACGTCCTGATGATAATTATGTTATTATCATCTTATTCTTTGACAGACTGGACAACAGATCTAGAGTGACCCAGCAGCTGGGCCCGGGTCATGACCTCCCGGGCTGATCCAGTGGCGTCTGCTCAGAGACAAGGGGGACAACCTTAACGTCGTCTGCTCTAAGAGAGGACTACAGGGGACACAATTCCAATGTTGTATTTCCTACTTACAAAACACTTTTCGATCTCAAGACTTCTTATTTCTACATTTCTAGATTATTTTTATGGGTCTTTTTGGTGTGTTTTTTTTTAAGTTTTAAATTACTGACCTGCAATTAAAATGTATATTTAGGGACTGTTCCAAACAAGTTTCCATCTTTTCACATCCTCACCGTGTTACACAGTAGAGGTGGGGAGGGAGGGGGGTGAAGAAAAGGACTACGGTTTGAACATCACTAGGTTTTTCATTCTAAGCTACATTTGTTCATGGGTCAAAAGAACACCATTGCTCTGTACTAAAGGGGTTGGGGGAGGGGGGGGGACTTTTGTCTCTGAACATGGACTTTTGCTGGCCTGGTTTTCCACTTCACGATTACGAGAGATGAAAACAGTCAACATTTCCAGCTTTTCCAAAACTACCTCCTTTGGCATAATGAGTTTGTGTATGCCCATGCGTGCGTGCACATGTGTGTGTGTGTGTATGTGTGTGTGTGTGTGTGTGTGTATGTGTGTGTATGTGTGTGTGTGTGTGTTAATATGTGTATGTGTCTATGAATGTGTATGTGTGTGTATATATGTATGTGTGTATGTTTGTGTGTATCTGTCTGTTTATGTGTCTGTCTGTCTGTCTGTGTGTGTGTGTTTGTATTCACGTATGTTACTATTTCAACAGGACATGATCTTCAAGTAATGCTATGCCTCTCGTACATCAAGTAAGATTAAACCAAAAACGTTGTAGAGAAGAAATTATAATATACATTCGACCTCTTGGCCTCTTTATCGATCCATAATTTATTATCACATTCGTTTGGGAAAAAAATCAATCACAGATCATTGATGAAACTTTTCTTCATAATAACCAATAAGCATTTATCGTAGAAATTGTTTCGAAACTAAAATAAAGGCAAAAACTAAAAGTCCAAACAAACTAAGATTTTGATTGGTCCGGCACGTGCCGGCGGGTGTTGCGTAGTCTGTGCGTGGGCGGTGACGTCAGCCTATCTGGCAGCTGCTCCACCGGACTCACTCTACTTCCGCTTGCCAGGACCCCACGGATCGGCCGCCTGCTCCTGGGCTATATATAGAACAGACGGGGGGGAGACCGTGTGAGTTGTGAGGGATGGTAACGATTTGTTGTAACTACAGTGTTGACTATTCAAACACATGTACATACAAGTTGATCTTCAGAGAAACGTTGTAAAAAATGATATGTGAGCCAGCGTGGTGGAATCAGGCTCTCGTCAAAATAATCAAAGTGAAGAAATTGGTATTTTTCTGCTGGCTAGTAAATTTTTATCAATTTTTTGTTTTTTTGGCTGAAGACCTTTCATGCCCATTAAAGAAAACATTTCTGAGTGAATTTTTCTGAAAAACGTTGATTAAAGGCGCAAAAAATGTAAATTTTCAGTTACCACGGACTCTTAAGCTAAGGAAATGACTAATCTTCGGCGGCCATTTTCTCACTTAGTTTACCTCTGAAACCAGGTGACCCCACCTCCTTCATTCGCAAATATCTCGACTTACATTCAAGATAAATGATATTTTTTTTCATCCATATAAAGACAGATGAATAAGCTTTAAGATGATACCAATAACTCTACATGCCCAAAAATTGACGAGAGCCTGATTCCACATTGTTGAGTAACAAATGATAATATGCAAACAGACGTACATACACAAACAAACAAACAGGCAGGCAGAGACACGTGTGCGCATATACACACATACAAACACACACACACACACACAAACACACACACACACACTCACGCACACACACACAAACACACACACAGGTACAAACAGACACTCGTTCACACACACTGAGGTAGACAGACAGACACCCCTTCCACTCCT